CATCCTATCTAATGAACACAACATATTGTACAAATACTGTCACATTCCAGCTAAAAAACACAAAACAAAGCAAAATACTGTCACATCCTATCTAATGAACACAACACATGGTTAGAATACTGTCACATCCTATCTAATGAACACAACACATTGTTAGAATACTGTCACATCCTATCTAATGAACACAACACATTGTTAGAATACTGTCACATCCTATCAAATGAACACAACACATTGTTAGAATACTGTCACATCCTATCTAATGAACACAAAACAATGTAAAGTACTGTCACATCCTATCTAATGAACACAACAAATTGTTAGAATACTGTCACATCCCATCTATTGAACACAACACATTGTAAAAATACAGTCCCATCCCTTTTAATGAACACAACACATTGTAAAAATACTGTCCCATCCCTTTTAATGAACACAACACATTGTTAGAATACTGTCACATCCTATGTTATGAACACAACACATTGTACAAATACTGTCACATTTCATCTAATGAACACAACACATTGTAAAATTACTGTCACATCCCAGCTAATGAACACAACATTGTACAAGTACTGTCACATCCTATCTAATGAACACAACAAATTGTTAGAATACTGTCACATCCCATCTATTGAACACAACACATTGTAAAAATACAGTCCCATCCCTTTTAATGAACACAACACATTGTAAAAATACTGTCCCATCCCTTTTAATGAACACAACACATTGTTAGAATACTGTCACATCCTATGTTATGAACACAACACATTGTACAAATACTGTCACATTTCATCTAATGAACAATACACATTGTAAAAGTACTGTCACATCCCAGCTAATGAACACAACATTGTACAAATACTGTCACATCCTATCTAATGAACACAAAACAATGCAAAATAATGTCACATCCTATCTAATAAACACAACACATTGTTAGAATACTGTCACATCCTATCTAATGAACACAACATATTGTACAAATACTGTCACATTCCAGCTAAAAAACACAAAACAATGCAAAATACTGTCACATCCTATCTAATGAACACAACACATGGTTAGAATACAGTCACATCCTATCTAATGAACACAACACATTGTTAGAATACTGTCACATCCTATCTAATGAACACAACACATTGTTAGAATACTGTCACATCCTATCAAATGAACACAACACATTGTTAGAATACTGTCACATCCTATCTAATGAACACAAAACAATGTAAAGTACTGTCACATCCTATCTAATGAACACAACAAATTGTTAGAATACTGTCACATCCCATCTATTGAACACAACACATTGTAAAAATACAGTCCCATCCCTTTTAATGAACACAACACATTGTAAAAATACTGTCCCATCCCCTTTAATGAACACAACACATTGTAAAAATACTGTCCCATCCCCTTTAATGAACACAACACATTGTAAAAATACTGTCCCATCCCCTTTAATGAACACAACACATTGTAAAAAATACTGTCCCATCCCCTTTAATGAACACAACACATTGTAAAAATACTGTCCCATCCCCTTTAATGAACACAACACATTGTAAAAATACTGAATGGTTTACTTACAATTGAATTGACTTAAAATCTATGATTGTATGATTGTATAATGATTGTATAATAAATGTATAATTTGAAAAAAAAAATAATATCTCTACTACATAGATCGGAAGGTCAAATCAGCGGTGTCAACAATTTACAGTTCAATAGCAATACAATAATAAATACAACTACAACACAACTTTGAGATGTAAAGGAAAGCTCCACTACATTCAATTCAATGGTAATAGTCATTACAACAGCAAAAAATACAATAATAATATAAAATTGTGGGATTTGATGGAGTGTTCATCTCTGGTAACCAATTAGCACAAGGGCTAATTGAAGCTAAAATATGGCTAAAATATTTATTTATTTATTTATTTAGGCATTTTTATATAGCGCTTACCTTAAAGCTCTAAGCGCTTTACAATTATTAAAAACATGTAAACTAACTACAATAAAAATGAGACATTAGGATAGTAACTACTATGCTATAGAAACAATTAAAATAGCTATAAAACGAGGACACTTTGGCACGTTTTGGCCTATATTACAGGATTAACCCAAGACAGAAAATGAGGCAGGGCAAGGAGGGTGCATCACAGGTCATAGGCGGACCTAAACAGATGGGTTTTAAGGGACTTTTTAAAAGTGGACGAGGTTTCACAATGACGGATATGGAAGGGGAGCTGGTTCCAGATTGTGGGCCCATGGAAGTAGAAGGAGCGTTCACCGATGGTCTTAGTTTTGGTTCTTGGGATTGAGAGGGTTCTATTGTCAATGGAAGAGCGTAGTTGTCTTGTGGGGATGTAAGGAAGCAACAGTTCAGAGAGATAGACAGGAAAGTGAGGGTCAGTGAACGAGTTGAAGCAGAGAAAGGGATGCAGCAAATATTTTGTTCACTGAAAGAACTTTGGAGGTGCCCTATGAATTCCTCTACCTACTTGTCTGGTATAAGTGCCCTATGAATTCATCTATCTACTGGTCTGGTCTAAACTATTTCATCTGCAATGATTATAGTATTGCCTCCTTGTCATGTTTTTTCATAATTACATAAGAAAAAGTACTTATTAGTAATAGGGCAAGGATCTTTTGATATTCTTTACATATTTTTTAAATATTTTGTTCAGGTAAAAAAAAAATTATTTTGAGATTTATTTTGATCCTTGACATCAAATCCACTCATGACACTAATCCCAATCCACTCATGACACTGATCCCAATTCACTGTTTGAAACATAACAAATCAAGCCGTGCATGTTGAATATGTAACATTGAAACGACAACATTAGAATTAAACATAGAGCAAGATGCTGGTCCTCTGTTGTCCCAGATAAGGGAGGGTACAAGAAGATATTGGACAGTTAGAATATTAGATGAAACGTGTGACACATGATATAACATTATGTACATATCGTAGTCGATACATATGCCCTGTGTGAATGTCTTTGTGATATTTTGCTACAACTATAAGCCAATTCATAGCATTTAATATTGTACTTTAATACCAGTAAAAATCTGTAATAAAGCTTTTCTCCTGTAAGTTGTATTATTTAAGTGTTTAATTGTTGCTCAGTCTGAAAACAATCATTAAATTTTACTCCATAATTATTAACATCTTTTTACAGAAGGAATTCTTGGTGGATTGTTCTGTGCCATTTTAGCTGAACAAATTATCATGTTTAATTAAGTTCTCCACCGTGACCCCTCTGAACAAATTATCATGTTCTAATTAAGCTCTCTGAATCCTCTGAAAAAATTATCATGTTCTAATTGAATTCTGTGACCCTCCGGAACAAAAGATCATGTTCTAATTGAGTTCTGTGACCCCTCTGAACAAAAGATCACATTCTAATTAAGTTCCCCACTGTGAGTCCTCCGGTGTAAGACTAAATAGTATTTTTTCCTAAAAGACGCAGAACAAGTATTGCATTGGTAAGGCTTCTCCCCTGTGTGAATCATCTGGTGCATGCTTAATGTTGACTTCAAGGAAAATATGGCTGAACAAATGTTACATTTGTAAGGCTTCTCTCCACTGTGAGTTCTGTTGTGTCTGATCAAATCATTGGTAGAGCAGAATGAGGCAGAACAGATGTCACATACGAAAGGTTTCTCTCCACTGTGAGTCCTTAGGTGCCTTGTTAGATCTGCTTTGACTTTGAAACCCGTGGAACATATTTTACATTTGTGGGGCTTTTCTTCACTATGTGTTCTTTGGTGTTTGACTACGTACGATTTTTCTTTAAAGCTGGCGGAACAAATATTACACTTGTAAGGTTTTTCTTCTGAATGAATTTTCTTATAGTGAGTGGACAAAGTTGAATTCTGTCTGAATGTAGCTGAACACAGTGTACATTTGTACCGGTACAACTTTTCTCTCCTATGAGTCCTCTTGTGAGTGGTTAAATTGAATTTTAGTGTGAACTTAGCCGAACAAATGGTACACGTGAAAGGTTTTTCTCCATTATGAAGCCTTTGGTGCGTGACTAAAGTTGATTTCTTTGCAAATGAATCAGAACATATGGTACACTTGAACGGTTTTTCTCCCGTGTGAATCCTGTGATGTGTGACTAGAGTTGACTTCTGGGCAAATGTAGCTGAACAAATATTACACTTGAAAGGTTTTTCTCCACTATGAATTCTATTATGCCGGACCAATACATCATTTTGGTAAAATTTAGCCGAGCATATATTACACTTGTAAGGTTTTTCACTGCTATGAATCCTCTGGTGTCTGACGACATCCGATTTTAGTTTAAAACCTGCTGAACAAATGTCACACTTGAAAGGTTTTTCTCCACCATGAAGCTTCTGGTGCTCCGCCACATCTTCTTCAGTTTCAAAACAAGCCGAGCAAGTGGTACACTTATGAGGCTTCTCCGTGGCATGAGTCCTCTGATGGCTGACCAAAGTTGACTGAATTCTAAATTTAGCCGAGCAAACGGTGCACTTGTAAGGTTTTTCTTCATTGTGAATCTTCTGATGCTGGAATAAAGTTGACTTTGTAATAAAGCAGACAGAACAAAAGATACACTTGTAAGGTTTTTCTCCATTGTGAAGCCTCTGGTGATTTATTAAATTTTGCTTTCGTTTAAAACTATCCGAACAAAGGTCACATTTGAAAGGTTTCTCTCCAGTATGAATTCTTTGGTGTGTGACTAAAGTCGATTTCTGTGTAAATGTAGCAGAACAAATGTCACATTTGTAAGGTTTTTCTCCACTGTGAACCCTCTGGTGTATTCCCAGATGGTATTTTCTTTTAAAACTAGCAGAACAAACATTGCATTTGTGCAGATGTTTTATAGAATTCATTTCATCTTCTGTCGCCAAGTGATCATCCTTTTTGGGAACATCTTGGTTCTGAACTTTAGATCTGTCATCAAATTGGTCTAGGGTTAAACTTGTCGGCTCTTCATGAGTCATCATAACACCGTCTTCCTTTGTCTCAGCCTCCGTCAACTGGCCTTGAAACGCATGTTCACTTTCCCCTACAAATAAGATGTCATTCTTGAGTTCCAGATTTTTCCCTGGAACTGGCAAGGTGTCATCCAAATGTGTGGACATAAAGACACCATTTTCACCACAAACGGGTTTCTGGTCTTTCAACAGATGAGATGCAGATTCTGGTTTGTCCACTTTACAATCATACATGACATCTTTGTGTACAAAGGAAGATACACAGCTTGCAGGCACCGAGTCGTGTAGAATGCCATCCTGATAATCACAATGCATAGGTTCTATTTTAACTTTACGAAAGAAATAGCCTTCATTTTTTATAACATTACCATTTTCCATTTGTGTTGTAGAGAATTCACTTGAAGTTGAAGGGCCTTCTGAAATTGTTTGATCATAGTTAACATCCGATTTGACATTATCTAGATCACTGGACTCCACTTTTGTACTTAAGATGAGATGAGAATTATTCTGTACAATATGAGGAAACTTGACATCAAGTTGTTCCATGTTGTCGTCTTGTAGCATGCTACACAGTCACCTTGCCAGTAATGCTTGTACAATCACTCAGAACAAATCTGCAAAAATAAAGAAAATATGAGAGAGAAAAGAAGTTTTTATTATTTATTTCATTGCACATAAAATAAGTTTTAACATGAATCAAATGACATAAGATAATCAATACTACCGTACTATCATTCATAGACATAATAAGACAAAATGAATTCTAATGGCCCATATAGCTAATATAGTTCTATAGTATCAGACAATCAGTAGATTATTAGCACTACCTAGTAGAAGTAGGATCAGTACCAATCAGTTCAACAACTCCACTCAACTGCTCTATAGCTCTTCCCTCCCTCCCCCCCCCCTCCAAACGCCAATAAAATGTATTGAAGTATTGTAAAAAAATAATGTACAAGTAATTCAGTCATGGCTGTTTCATTGTTACAAGAACTTGCAGGAAACAAGAACAGAAAGGATCCCCTCTATAAATGATGCTCAAACAAATTAAAAACAAAAACATCTTCTGCTGCTAATCAAAATGCATTCAGATTAATTTTTGTAAGGCGCAACAACTAGCTATGGCGGTAAATAAAAATGTTTAACAAAATTATCCACCGGTGTGACAAACTTAAAAGTTTGGTACAGGCTGCTCTTCGTGACTCTAAGTTCTAACTCTAAACTAACTCTAAGTTACTAAAAGTAAAAGTCCAACTCAGGACTTCACTCATTCAACTCACTGACTTAGAAGTTAGAGACCTACCCTACCCTAAACGAAATAAATCCATCTGACTTTTTGTAGGCTACAACCATGGACGCCCGCAGAATGGGTCACATGACCCCACTGGAAAAAAATAAATTAATTCTAAAAAAATGTATATTAATATTTGCACTTTGTCCCCATGAATATAAAATGGTTTATAAAAAACCTAAATAGTATTTCTATTTGTATGTCACAAATGACCAGGACTGAGAAAGGAAATGATGGGCGTAGGTACTGGACAAACGTACAATAGATGAGGGACTAGTTAACATGACATCAGCAGAGTTTATAGTATCGGGAAGACATGATAGCTTGGGAGGCAGTGAGACACCAGGTGGACAGTGTGAGAACGGGTATCGCTAACGAGTTGGAATAATGAATTTTGAAGTTAGCTGGTAAAAGTGGAATGTTCATGCAGACCGTGGGTAGCGTTAGATTAATTATCCGTGACAGAAAAAAACACAACATTGTAGATGCTAATAAGAGGGTGAGGACATGGAATAAGCATTGTGGGTAAAGGATCTGGTCGGGAGAATGTTGTATTTAATGATGTAGCAATTCAAATTCAATGACCGGTGGGCGCATGGATAACAAGGAAAAGTCTGCATGTAAGCAGCATCAAACGTTAAGTGCCATGTGGGCTGAGACGCCAGCGAAATTACACAAGAAGTCCTTTGATGGTGAGTGTAAGACATGTTTTACTTTGATGATGAGTGTAAGACATGTTTTAATCTAACAATCATCACAGATCAAGGACGCTGACAAGAAATCACCAACAATTTGACAAAAAAAAACTAAAATAAATGACCTCACCTTTCACACTAGCAGAAGCCACTGTCAGTGGTTCTCAGAGCTATGATTCATTACTATAGGCATCACTCAGATTTGACACTGAAATATCAAAACATAATAATTTTGGCTGTGATATGGCAATCAATGATTTTGATTTGGGTTGATATATTCAGTCAACATCTCAACAGTCAAATGTTTTAAAATATTGTTTACTCACAAACCCATACCAACCAACACCAAGTTACAATTTAAGTAAAGAAAGAACAGGCAAAGAATGTTCTTTTCACTATGCCTGGCTTGATCAGTTGTATCCAGTCTAGTCTTCTCAAAGGTGTAGTATTTATATTTTGTATACTTTTCCTACAACCCATTCATCGCGGGTACCAAGTGATATTTATAGCAACACCTTTCACTAAGTACAATTACTTTCCTCAAGGTGCTCATAATCATGGGGAAAGTCAGTGATTGGCACAAAGATGCTCAGCAGGAAGCAATAGCATTCTTGCGCATCATTAGGAATCCAGAATGACATATCCTAAGTCAAATAGACATATCTATTTCTAATAAGGTTTTAGAACTTTTGCTGATATTATCCACAATTATCTTCTGAAGAACACAAGACATCACACTTCAAGGTAAAAATAGCAACAGTGGAAATGTTCACGATCTGTTTCAGCTTAGAGTTGAGGTTGGCGACAAAGACCTGGAGACACATTTGCAGATATCCATTGTCCATTAATGTTCGTTATACTTCTCAAAGAATCCAAAATCATTTGATAGAGATATGTGAGGAAGTTATAAAGAAACAAATATTAAATCAGGTAAAAGTTCTATAGGATTCTCAATGTTTGCCACTGAAACAGCTAATAAATCAGTAACCTAACAATTGTTGTTGATGATACGTTTTGTAGACAATGTAGTTTATGTAGACAGTGCATTTAAAATTTATGATGTAGGCCTATTTATCAGATACCAGTCACTGAAGCAAATAACAGCATCTGCAATTGTAGCAGTTCCAGCTATTTAGACTTCAGTCTACTATCATGACGTGTCTCAATCCCGTCTAGTTTAAGACGAGTGTATGATGATCATTGTCATTGATATTAATTCTAGTATGTACTCAATTTTCAACTTAAGCTTGATTTTTAGAGCATGCAGCAACAATCACAAGATATTAAAAATGACTTGCAGCTTAGGTTATCTAAAAATTGCTGCCGAGCACAGACTTTTTCCCATCTATTCGCCAAGCTATTCTTATTGCACTTACTTAACTTACTTTACCAACAACAACAACGTAATTTTGCTCATTCCTTTAATTCTGAGGGTATTAAAGGAACGCTCCACAATGCATTTTGATTGTTGTTGGTAAAATAAAGTGAAAAGAAAATTAAGTGCATAATAATTGCCATAGTAAAAGCAAAAGAATGAATGATGGGGAAATTAATACTAAGACTAATTTAATAATAAGACATTAAGTAAGTCTAAGATTCTAAGATCAAGTAGTATCAGAACGTGCGTTAAAATAAGTTCTCGGTATACCTAAATTCTGAATGCCTTATTATTGAAAAATGTTTTTTTGAAAATTAATAACAATTTCGTATAGTGGTGACTATACAGTAATCTAAATATTATTGTTGCTATTATTATTAGTATAATTAATAAATGGAGAAATCAAAATCTCAATACTTCCGGTGCTGTCAGAGTCTACTTTTTTAAATTCAATTTTTAAGTTCATTATTATTTTAAAACTAGAAAGGAAACGCAACAGTTTTAAAACTTTCTATGGAGGCATGCAAGGACTCATGTCGTCTGTTGAGGCTTTGAGATTAAGTCATGTGAGAAAACTTACAAGTGAACTGTATTTGTTTTGAAATAATTCACTAAAGATTAATTGCTAACCTTTAAAAGTGTCCAGTAAAAAATCCACCCCCCCCCCTTTTGTGTGCTGTTGTTGTTTTTTTTTTAAAAACATATATATAAATATATATAAAAGTTAATACATTTCCTATCTCATAGACTAAATCCCCCCCCCCCCCACCCCCAAGAAAATTATCTTCAAACTGATTCACTGACTAATCAACGATGACACGCATGTAGAGACGGGGTTGGGGGCGGAATGACTGACCAAAGGGGGGCTGGGCTGCTAACGGAACCGGCTGACTTTCTCACTTAAGGTTGGGGGGGGGGGGCGGCACCAAATGGAAAATGCAAATTTTGACATAGTTCGCTAAGTCGGTTTCATAAAAGAACTCGATTAAATACAAGAACAAGTTGATGCCAGAACAGGAAGTCACCAGACAGAACACATTGTTACTGATACAGTGAAGTTCCGTGTCAATTGACGGTTTATTTTTGCTCTTGGGAAATCCTTTAGTTAAATATCTTTAGTTTTAAAATACTTCTTTTGTATGTGCTGATAATGAATATGTAGTCTACATTGTACTTTAAAAAAAAATACATTTATCTGGATCAATAAAATAATCTTATTTTATCTTATAAAGGGTTGGGGGTGGGTGGGGGCTGTCATAGTTGGCTCGCCCCTTATAAGGGCGTCACGGACCTTAATGGTTCGAAAATCTTTGATCAAATTTAAAACAACGGGAATCTCAAGAAGAAATATGTTATAATTATGTCTCTGAAGCCTCTTAACTAGACTAAATTAAACCCATGTCATCTCTCATTTTTCTTTCCCAGTATTCATACCTAGTATTTACGTGCACCCCCACCCCCTAAGCCCAACCAGTGTTTTAAGATACAAATCTTTAACAGGTTTTACCAGTGTCCTCATCAATGAGTCAGTATACAGGTCCACATAGTATGTCCACAAGTTCAAGGTGGCAAGGTCACTGCAAGACTGATTAGATGAAACATGTGTTCAGCTAGTACATGATAAAAAAAAAATAAGACTAATCTTAGACGGGAAATATGTGTCACCAGCCTGAAAAGAAAAACACGTTGTAAAGTTCAAGGCTATCCTCGAACACTACTAAAAAAAGTAAACATTTTAGAACAGTATGCTAAATCTTTTTCAATGCACACCCCAGTCCTCAAATCCAACACACCGTCACATCCCAGTCCTCAAATCCAACACACACATACATCCAAATCCTCAAATCCAACACACACGCACATCCCAGTCCTCAAATCCAACACACATGCACATCCCAGTCCTCAAATCCAACACACACATACATCCAAGTCCTCAAATCCAACACACACATACATCCCAGTCCTCAAATCCAACAGACACATACATCCAAGTCCTCAAATCCAACACATCCTCACATCCCAGTCCTCAAATCCAACACACACGCACATGCCCAGTCCTAAAATCCAATGTTTTCAATAGAAAATGCACACAAAGAGAGATTTTGATGTGCATGGATGGAGAAATGAGTCAGGGTTAGTATTTTATTATTTAAAATTGTTATAAATGATTAATTTGGAGGCTGAAATGTTTTGGTTTGTATTTGTGAAAGATTGATTTTATTAATTTTATTCGAAAATATTCGAAGATTTTGTTTGTTTGTTTACAAATCGTTTTAAATGTATGAGTGTGATGTTTTTTGTTAAAAAAATATGAACCCCGGGGAGGGGCGCAAGTCAATCAACATTAATATGGCACCGGCTCTCTCTCTCTGTGTGCGTGTATATATATTTATATACACACCAACATACAAAAATTATAATGAGTACCACACAAAATAGCGAAAAAAACAACAAAAAATAAACATCCTAGCTTCAAAAATTGATGACAAATTTCAAACTTCCGGTGTAAACAATCGTCATCACACATCTCCAACTTGAATAAAAATGAACCAAGGAGCTTGTTTTTGCATTTAAATTTAACCTCGTTTAAAAGTATTCAGTTGCTTGACTTCACATCTTTTCGGTTTCGTATATTAGTTTCAGTTTAAAAAAAGAATAATTTACAATAATATATAAAGATTTGATTGACTATTTTGATGTATCCACGGCTCCACTTGAGTTTTAATTATTTAATTTAATTTTGATTAACGTTTAGTTTAAATTTTAATTAATTAAAGAATTGTGTTCAGTGTTATGGCTAATTCATAATTCAAAAAAAAAATTAGGTATACCTAAAAATTATATCAATTTTAGACTTATCAGTCTTTAACTGACAATTTCGCCTTAAATTTTATAAGAAATACATTTTACTTTCATTTTCATCAAAGACAAAATCATTAGACATTAGTCTTCATTAGAAGAAATGGAAGGGAGTCTAAACAAAAGTGTAGAAATCAATATTATAGATGAGACGCTCACCGATGAGAATAATGAGATCAAGCCAGCAGATCTTCATCGTTCTGAAGGAAGATTTGATAACTCTGAGCCTGATATGCTCAGTCTAGAAGATCAAGATTCATATTCCGGTAAATACAATTTGTCTATTCTATAGTATTGGTCTAAAGTCTACTGTTTAATTCTAACCATTAATATTCGAAGTGGCTTGCGTGCACCACGGGGGTGTACCTAGCAATTAAAAATTGTTTTATAAAATAGCAGAGACATATTACCTTTCTTACATTTCAGTTAGATAGATGAAACATTTTGTTATATTATGAAATTATTATTAACTGATTGTATATTGCTTGACAGGTCATTTAACACCCACTGGTGAAGTGAGATCTGAAATTGGTGAATGTCCAGTTAAAAATAGGGAGCTCAGGATGACAGTGTCCAGTGGCAACTGCCCTACCATGGCTTCAGAAGTAACAGTAGAGATTCAAGAAACTCTGAAAAGCTTTGTTAAAGCTGTGCATGAAAAGTATAATGATGATGGTACAGATATCGCAGATGCCATCAAAAAATTTGTTCATGTTCCCAAAACTGGCCCTGTGAAAGTGACCGGTATGTGTGTCAGGCCAATTGTTATAAGCCTAATTAATTGCTGGTCCCAGTAAGAACAAATTTGTAAAGTGTCCTGAAAAGTTTGATACATAAATTTCTCAACCCTTAGATAATATAATCAACAGGCTTATATATGATATAATAACAATTCATTTGCTGCCTACTTAGATACTACTTCTCAGCTAAGTGCTATTTTAAAATTTTATTCTGTTTTTTTATCTGTTTGTTTGCTGACGAAGACTTTCTGCCAGCACGTTGGTTGTTTTGTCGAGTTCCTTTTTTCAGGTTTAACCTTACTTTGTTTTACTAATTACCTATTGTGCTAACCTGATTGCAGTCTCTCCCCTTTTTAGCCTAATTACCAGGCTCTTAGCCTACCTGAAATATTGCCCCATGTGACTATGCAAACAATATATTTTCTTGTGTGAATTACTGTGAAGACTCATGATCTTTTCTAACATCATTGGGCATGATGTTTGCCTAAAACCTGACTCAAAGCCAAATAAATTTTTCTGATGTAACATGACTAACTATGGTGTAAATTACAGCGTAGGGGTAAACCAAACCACAAAACTTTTACTGGTGTGTAATCGCTATCTGTGGATATAAATTACAACTACGGTATACCAACCAAATAACAAACATCATGGCTTTCTCACCCCCCAACCCCCCAGTGTTTGCCAAGTTTGAAACTCACATGCCATTTGTTAGTACTGTAGGGTACATTGCTTTCATAATATGCAGTTTCACTGAGAAGAAAAGTAATAACAAATACTGATTCTAGTATTAGTTTTCTTAATATTCAATTTTCAAGTTTTAACAATTGTAACAATTGTTTAAAAAAAAAAATAACTTATCCAAATTGAAATAGCAATCCCCAAGTAAAGAATTGTCCATCAAGTTAAGTTGAAGGCTATCACCTTTGAAACAGAAAGAACCATTAAAACTAACCATAATTTAATATATACTTAAGCTCATTCTCCTAAAAGACCACTGCATTGGACAGGCTTTTGCATTTTATTGCCAGAACTTCTTAACATCCCCTAGAGAAACTGATGAGACTGGAGTAACTATGCATATGCCCACCATTTTTAAGTCCTAGATTTTCCACCAAATTTTTGTCAATGTTATTAAAATTATTTCTTTGGAGCTACCGGTACTTCCCTGACCACATTGCTACATGATGTCAAGTCAATTAATTTAATTATTAATTAAATTAATTTTTTGTGTGGATTTATTGAATTTAGATAAAAATACTTTGCTGATTTCTGATTGAGCTTATGGAAATGATCACTAATAGCTTCACTCCACCTCTGTCATAACAAGTTAAGTTTGTTTGATTTGACTCTATCTCCTGGATTCTGTCTAAACTCAGTCTTATGTTCTTATTCTAGTAAATAAATCTTCTAAATCTCATTCTAACAGCACTGTCTTCTTACCTCTTTCTCCGTTAAAGCCTCAGGAAACATTATGCTCCCTAAACAAGTGAGCATGAGTGGCTGTGAGATATCTGTGGCTGGCGATCCAGTTTTGATCCAACGGATGTGTCAGAAGGTGCGGGAGTTGGACTTGATGGAGAATGACATCATGAATTGGGATGAGGTTAACACCATATTTTTCATTACAATTAAGCTATCCATAAACTAGTCACAAAACTATACTCGAAAATTGCCATTGCTATGAAGTTATAAAATTGTCCGCCTTCTATACATAAATTCTAAGGCTGATGACAGGCATTGTCAGTGGTTCATAAACTCATTTAACTTTCAAAAACCACTGGACAATAGTTTTTAAATTAAACTACGACCCACAAGGCTAGTTCATCCGGCCCGCCAACAGTACTTGAATTTGCTTGATAAGGCATATTTTTGCCCTCAAACACCTAAAATCGTAAAATATCGTCTCAAAATTGTATGATACGGTATCTTAATTGTAAATAAATAAAATTGTATTCATTATATATACTATATGTTAATTTATTGTTTTTATATACACTATATGAACTACTCACATCTCAATGCCTAGTGGGATCGAGTTAAATTGGCATCAAAAAAGTTAACTACCAAAAGTAGATGACGGGTGCACAGAGAAGGAAAACTTGTTGAATTTCACCGCTGCTAACTTGACGTTGAGTTTGTGAAAGAGAAGAACTTTGCCGCTTGGTATGGCATGACGTTTGGAACAACTTATGTCTGCGAGCAAACATTTAAAAAATGAAGTATGTGAAGTCAACACAAGGAACGAGAGTGGCTGATGAACAATTGAAAATAATTCTCTTGATTGGAGATTGGATGCAGCTATTCAAAGCCGAACATTGATGAAATCTAGAAAGCCAAACGTCAGTTTCACAAATCTCACTAATCTTTTTTGCTGCTTAGTTTGTGATATTTGAATATCTGCGTACTAGGTCTGATGTAACTATGTTTTGCCAACGTCACCTTCTTTGATAGCTTATTTTGAAAATAAATATGTTCGTTCTGGCTTGCAGGCATTGAACAGAATCATTATCCTGCCCGAGCTCTTCATTTTTTTCCGTTATCCCGCCCAGCGTGAAAAAAGTTTGGCGACCCATGTTCTAGATGAATCTTATAAAATGAAAATTTCTTTTAAATTTCAATCATATCCTAGATCAGGCCTGCACCACATACGGCCGCGAAGTAATGAACTATTCTATATCATTAATATTTTCTTAATAGCTTTCCCCCTGTCCTATTTTCTTTCGGCCGGCACAAGTTTTTCATAAAGTACTACGGCCTGCCTTACATTTTGTGTTGTGCAGGCCTGTTCTAGATGGACCTTATACAATGAACATTTCTTTTAAAATACAATCATGTTTTAGATGAACCTGACTCTTGTGATGTCTATCTCATGTCTATCTCATGTCTATCTCATGTGCATCTCATGTCTATCTCATGTCCATCTCATGTGTATCTCATGTGTATCTCATGTCCATCTCATGTCCATCTCATGTCCATCTCATGTGCATCTCATGTCCATCTCATGTCTATCTCATGTCCATCTCATGTCCATCTCATGTGTATCTCATGTCCATCTCATGTCCATCTCATGTCCATCTCATGTGCATCTCATGTCCATCTCATGTCTATCTCATGTCCATCTCATGTGTATCTCATGTCCATCTCATGTCTATCTCATGTCCATCTCATGTCCCTCTCATGTCCATCTCATGTCTAATCCCATGTCCATCTCATGTCCATCTCATCTCTATCTCATCCTAATGTAATCACTGCACAGGTTTTTACCATCCTTGAATGCATACCTCACTTGACCTTCCTGAACCTGACCAAGAATCAGCTGAGGTCTCACATCCCAGATGTGGCGGGCAGAATGCTCCCTAACCTGACGCATCTAGTGCTCAACAACACACTGATCACATGGGATGTACTAGTACAGGTGCTTACAGTTTTTACAAGGTAACTAACCCTCAACACCTGCACTGGTGCCAAATGTCATGTAACTGTGCATACAGGATACTTAGACTGCAGGCAGTGTGTCAGTAGGATACTCATACTGCAGGCAATGTATCAGTAGAATACTCATACTGCAGGCAGTGTGTCAGTAGAATACTCATACTGCAGGCAGTGTGTCAGTAGAATACTCATACTGAAGGCAGTGTGTCAATACCTCAAATAACAGTAGTGCTCTTTGCATTTCACTTTTTAATGATTGTACAGTACACCAGGTTGGATAGGAGCTTGTCATGACAACTATTTTCAAATCATCAAGTCAAATAGTAATTATGATGCCACAATAATCGAGTTGAAAGTCACTGTTAGCAGAGTCAAATGATATTAGACTTTGCGATGTCATTCATAAACTTAAATGTATCCCTGATGGGACTTAATATGCCATCTTCTACTTCCTGTTGTGCTCCTTCTTCTGCCTAAAGAGAAACAAAGGCCAATAAGCATTGCTCTTCATCTTGGTCTTTCTGTCTTCACTGTCATCACTGTCTCTCCTTGCCATTCTCAATTCCCCATTCAGATTCTTTTCTCTGTGTTCTTAGGCCTTCCATGGCCTCTTTTCTATGCCTGCCAGATGATGCTTGCATATATTTACCTGATTTTGTTAACCTGAATCTGACTCCACGTCCTTTTGATTATGTCATGCGAGAGTGTTTCAGACACTGTGATTCAGATATCATCATGTCAAAACTCGGTTCACAAAGCAGCGTTTGACTTATGTCTCTGTTTATGTGTAATTAACCTTTCTGTGATTGATTGCCATTTAACTTTCTCAGGAACATTTTGCCTCAAGCCAATGTATTGTGTTTCTAAGAAGTAGATTCAATTATTAAAATATTATTCCCTCTTCAGCTTGGAGGAGCTACATCTCAGCCTCAATGGCTTTGAAACTGTTGACATTCCAGTCATGACATCGTCTGCGACATTTAGTCCTCCCTCGACCCCATCGTCAGGCACCCCATCGTCGGACACCCCATCATCAGACAACCCATCACCAACGATCTACCCGTCTCTCCACAAACTGTTTTTTATTGGGAACAAGGTGACAGATTGGAGAGAGATCAACAAGCTGGGCTCCTTCTTCCCAAACCTCGTCTTTCTGCTCCTGTCTGAAACGGACTTAACCCATTTTGATGGCTCAGATAATATTGGGGAGTGCTTCCCTTGCCTGCAGACGCTGGGCTTAAACAGAACTCAGCTGAGATCATGGGATGAGGTTGCACAACTTCGGCTCTTCCCTTCACTCAATGACGTTAGACTCAATGGAATTCCATTTTTAGATGTAAGTCAAAATTTCTTGTGATGATCCAGACAACAACAAAAAAATGATACACAATAATATTTCTTAACAATGATCACATCTTTTCCATATTGATACTTTAAACAAATATCCATCAAGCTTACATGACACCCAAATCTCCTCGTCTGAATAAACATATGACTTGACATATTGAAATAAATTATATACTAGTTACAAAATAACATATAGCTCAATTCTTAAGTAAAAAGGTATACCTTGCAATGCAATGTAGCTTTCAAAATCAAAATTCTTCACCACTAAAAAGACTATGTATTACACCTTCATTTCCCGTTCTTAATTTCATATTTATATTTTTTATTTGGGCACATGCAAAGTGGTTTTATAAATAATTATTTCATTTCCTAAAGTTATGTGATGTGTGATGTGATGCTGATTATCACATCCTAAAAGTCAGTAACATTATTTTAATGTTGCAACTGTCATGATATATATATGTATATATAATATATATTTGGCATTCGTCTTGTCTCAATGAGATCATGGTCTGGATCTGGCAGGAAAAAATCACAAGGCTTGGGATTTTGTCATGAGCTCATTCCCTAGTCAGCAGATGACACCCCCCCCCCCCCCCCCCCCCCCCNCCCCCCCCCCCCCTAACCATTGCATCAGACATACCCAAGGGAACATCAATTGCATGATACAGCTGGGCAAGACCTGCCACAATTTTTATTTAGGCATGTCATACCATCTATGGGACTACTTCTCCAGGTTTGAATTCAGTTTTTACCTTCTCCTTCATGAGTTACTATCCAAGGTTAACGACTCTCATCAACTCAGAGTGCACGTGTTGTTTTTGCTTGTCTGGATTTTTGCCGAGGATTGGTTGGTTAAACACAAAAAGAGAGTTCTCAAATTAAATATTAACTAAAGATCACTGCACCAGACGGCAAATAATGTTTCATTTTCAGGAATTTACAGAGATGTTTCGAAGGCAGCACACAATTGCTTTGTTACCAAATATCACAAATTTAAATGGAAGTCGCATTGGAGACAGTGAAAGAGAGGACGCAGAGAGAGCTTATATACGTTTATTTTTGGACAAGGAAGATAAGCCACAAAGGTAACATTAATTATAATTATGCTTCTTGACAAAAACTACAATTATTTACTCCTATATAAGTTTATTATTTACTCTGTCACAAGTTCAATATTTACTTTGTCACAAGTTTAATATTTACTCTGTCACAAGTCTAATATTTACTTTGTCACAAGTTTATATTTTACTCTGTCACAAGTTTATTATTTACTCTGTCACAAGTTTATTATTTACTCTGAGACAAGTTCATTGTGCAGATATTGCTTTTTTTTTTTTTTTTTTTTTTTTTTTTTTTTTTTTTTTTAATTTTTTTTTATTTTTTTTTTTTTTTTTTTTTTTTTTTACTGTTTATACTATTTATAAATTATCGTAAGATTATCTTTAATGAAACATGCACATTAAAAAAATATGATGTTAATTGTAAATTTTAAATATTAATTTAATTTTTAATTTTTTAAAATGTAATAGCTGAGAAATTTGACTTTTATCCTATTACTTTGTACCAGTACAGTTATGAACATATTAATTGAAATGATAGAGTACAGTCATCATATGATTTATTGCCACACCTATTACGTTAAATTCAGTCATCGCATTCCTTTTACTAAGGTATCATGAACTGGTTCAGATGCACGGTAGAGTAGATCCACTGGCCAAAGTTGAATTGAAACCTCAACGATTCATAAAACTAAAGGTAGGCAGCATTGACCAAATTTCTTCTAAGGCCTGAATACGCTTGGACTGTTCATAACTGTATCCCACGTTCTAACTTCATCATTTAAAAAAAAAACATTTAGGTAATTGCACTTGAGCAAAATTTGTGTAACTTAGTTTTTGAGATGTGATTCTCAGCTGCTGTTTCATTATATGATCTAGCATTTAATTAAATAGGTAATGATAGGTAATAAAAGGTAAACATCAAGATTGGAACAGCATCAAAACTGTTGTGTGTCTATATAAAGGCCAAAAAGGTTGGCACAATTCAATCATTTCTAGACAGTGGTCGTATAGTCCGTCAATGTGTCAGATGTCAATGTGTTTTAACACTGCTTCCATTTACATTGAGAAAAAAGTATTGGACAAAATTTAGCAATTCTTTGTGGCTTTCAGCTCAGCTCTCTCATTTTGACTCCTGGTTATACAATAAAGATTAATACATTACATCATAGAACAGGTGAATTACTTCTACTCTGATTATATTGGCTTGTTCTACAGATTCGTATTGAGAATGCCAATCAGGAATTGATCAAATTGGAGGAAATGTCTATCGACGTCACGCAGACTATCCGTGACTTGAAGAAATTGCTCAGCAATGTGGCTGGCTACCCCTCAGCTAAATTTAATTTATATCATCTGGACAAGGAGATAGACATGTTATCTGACAAACTCAAGTACATGGATAGAAAATTGTTTTCTTACAACATGAGAGACGGGGATGAAATCATTGTGGAATGCATGAACTAAATGTCATTGTTTTTTTGGGGGAAATATTTAAAAAAATTGGTCCTAACTTGGATCGGATTTCTCCGTGATAGAAATCATTTTTCATATTTTTTTTTAACATAAATATTTGTTATGCTTTTTTTTCAAAGAAATCAAATCCAAAACTTTGAACAGTAATTTTAAAAACTTGACTGGTATTTAAAATATATATTTTTAAAAATCAGCATTTAAAAAAACTTAGCTTTTAAGTTATAAGCTTTTTAAATCAGTGTGTAAAAAAAAAAAAAAAATTTAAGTTACAATTTTCTTATAAATTACTTATACATTATACCTTTATTTGTTAAACAAATTTTAGTTATTTTTTTTCTAAAAAGAAAGAAAAATACAATCAGAGGCAGAGTTAAATGTATAACAATTTATTTTAGCTTATGACTACCTCGAAACTCGATTGTTTTTATTTGAATTAATTAGATTTTTTTCTCTTTATTTCTTTAAGATAAACATTATCATTTGATATTTTAAATGTTTTATGGACGGTCTTTATGGAAGGTCGTTATGGAAGGTCTTTTAACAGGCCGAAATGCCTTTATTAAATATACTTCTGCAGTTTGGCACCATATTAAGATGAATGAATGTTTGTCCTTTTAAATCACATAATGCTATTCAACGGTCAGTATCTTCTGTGTGGCAATAATCCATGAATTTCTTTATGTTATGTGATTCAATGATAAATTTAAGTTCATTTCTATATCACATCCTATCTTTTTTATAAAAAAATTATCTTTGCATTAAATTTTTTGTTAGTCCTTGTACATTTTTAAATGTTCTAATTTGGAAACATGTTTCCTTTCTTTTCGAAGCATCAAATACCGGTACTTAGTTTCTATAATTTTGGTACTTAGTTTCTATAATTTTGATAACATTTTTTAAAACTATTTTGATACTGCTTTCTTTTACCATTAAAAAAAAAATATTTTTTTACCAAATTTACCATAACTTTTAATTTCGCTTTATACAATATATATCATTTGAAATATTATACTTGAAACAATGAATCCCTATCAAAGGTATCAATACTCTCGGGATATTTTAATGCTAAGCCACGGTAGCTCAATTTCATGAGTGCTCACATACGTTTGGAACAATTTGCTTTTTGTCAAGTCGGCATTGGATTTAATCATGTGACGCAATTATTATGTTACTTTTGTCTTATGAGCCAAACAACATGTTGATTAGTTTATGTGACGCAATTATCATGTTACTTTTGTCTTATGAGCCAAAGAACATTTTAATTAGTTCATGTGACTTAAGGAACATCTTGATGAGTTCATGTCTAAAGTAATATCTATGAACTATTCAATCTATTCCTCTGATCACCTGTACCAATCAACATGTTCTCTTACTCCATTTTGAAATATTGTCCAACTTCTTTTTGTGCAGAGTTGGAGAAGTTTCAAATGAATTTTTCCTCCGATATTTTATAATGAAAGTGGATTTTTTAAACCAATTTCCCGAACATTGTCATATGTCAGGGTCTACGCCAATTATTCACAATTATATTATAATATTATTTTTGTAAATAAGCTACATTAACAATATTGCACTCTGAAAATTAATTTCAATCTATTTTTTACTGTGATAAGTTTGAAATGATTTAATCCTTGATATCATGCACTATATAAAAGATCATGCACTGTACAAAAGTTCTCATGTTCGAGAGAGGAAGCTTGAGATGAGTTTGACAATGATGAAAACAAGTTTTTCTGAATAATAATAATAATGAGTAAACCTTTGCTGTCCCCTGTGACAACCTTGCCCACGCCATGTGTACATTCACATTATCATCTAGACACTAGATGTTAGTCATGGTTTTAGTTTTGTAGAATTAGAGCTGTGCTCACAAACCTAAGAACAAATCGACTAAAGGCCTGGTTCAGCTGAAAGTGTAGAATCTAAGTGTATGTATAGGCCTATATATATAAATATATATATATATTTATTTATTAATATATTTCCACAGACACCTTCCATACAATACACCCAATGAGTTATAAGAAAGAGTAAAGCCTCCCTATCCCCATCAAATGATATGAGAAAATAAGATTGTATTTTTTTTAACTTCCTTCCATTTTAAATCTCACTACTTCCTGTTACTATTATTAGTATTAGTGCTAAGAGCTTTGTCATTATGTAATTTACTTAAGAGAAAAATTGGTTGACAGGGAATCAGCTTTGAAAGTTTGTGTCTTTTCATTTACTTCTGCTTTGCTGCAGTTTTAGCCGCTCCCTCTCCATGCTAGTGCCATAGAGTCTTTATTCAAGGGTGGGTGTGAAGATTACCACAGACAGTCACAGTACAAATGTAGATTACCACAGACAGTCACAGTACAAATGTAGATTACCACAGACACTCACAGTACAAATGTAGATTACCACAGACAGTCACAGTACAAATGTAGATTACCACAGACACTCACAGTACAAATGTAGATTACCACAGACAGTCACAGTACAAATGTAGATTACCCCAGACACTCACATGACAAATTTAGATTACCCCAGACAGTCACAGTACAAATGTAGATTACCACAGACACTCACAGTACACATATAGATTACCACAGACACTCACAGTAAAAATATAGATTACCACAGACACTCACAGTACAAATATAGATTACCACAGACACTCATAGTACAAATATAGATTACCACAGACACTCACAGTACACATATAGATTACCACAGACACTCACAGTAAAAATATAGATTACCACAGACACTCATAGTACAAATATAGATTACCACAGACACTCACAGTAAAAATATAGATTACCACAGACACTCACAGTACAAATATAGATTACCACAGACACTCACAGTAAAAATATAGATTACCACAGACACTCATAGTACAAATAAAGATTACACAGACACTCAGTACAAATATAGATTACCACAGACACTCATAGTATAAATATAGATTACGCAGACACTCTATTACACTTATCTTTGTCGTGCAATCAATGACAATTAAACAGTAAAGATTGAAGCTATGATTAGATCATCTCTCCATTAATGACTGCTGTGATTTTTTTTATGTTGCATTCCCGGGTGCTTTTTTTGCCATAAGCAAGCCCTAACTCATGTAAGGAAAATAATTGATAAGGTATTTTTGATTAATTCATCGCCACTGATTTGTTCTAGTGGCTAGAAATGTTCATTTCAACAGCATCAATGGATCGCTTTCCTTTATTTGTTGGCTTTGCTTTTCGCTATTTGATTCTTATCACTTTTTTACGTCTATTAAAATAACAATCAAAAGCTATTATGATGAAACCAGATTTTTTTATAAGGTAACTTATTGAAACCTTTCAAATATTCAGAGAAGATTCAAATTTGATATAAAATAAAATCTGTCTTCAGTATGGTGTCTGGTAAAATATAGACAGCTTATGTCGCATGTTGTGATGAGAAACAGAATGGTGCCTGGTAAAATATAGACTGCTTATGTCGGGTGTTGTGATGAGAAACAGAATGGTGTCTGGTAAATTATAGACTGCTTATGTTGGGTGTTGTGATGAGAAACAGAATGGTGTCTGGTAAAATATAGACTGCTTATGTCGGGTGTTGTGATGAGAAACAGAATGGTGTCTGGTAAAATATAGACTGCTTATGTTGGGTGTTGTGATGAGAAACAGAATGGTGTCTGGTAAAATATAGACTGCTTATGTCGGGTGTTGTGATGAGAAACAGAATGGTGTCTGGTAAAATATAGACTGCTTATGTTGGGTGTTGTGATGAGAAACAGAATGATGCCTGGTATAATATAGACTGTTTATGTCGGGTGTTGTGATGATAACCACAGGGTAACCATCAAATAAAATAAGAGCAAGCATCACAGTCAAGCGACTGAATGCTTACGTCTTGAGCTCTTATACTGAGTCAAATCCTGTTTCACTTAATTTTCAATGGGACTGAAAGTTACAACCATCATGTATTCTTCTTCTTATTATTTTATATTTTACAAAAATGACTGTATTTCCTGGTAAAAAGTTCAGTAAGACAGAAATGCTAGTTGAGATGCAATTACAATGAATGCCAAGAAATATACAAAATTAACCACAGACTAATTTTTATAATTCTTCATATCATAGACCCTTTTTTGTTAAAGGCCTGTCTTTCATTTTGTCTGGTCCCACATCTGGTCAGTCATGTGACTGTCAGTACAAGTTATACTTTAAAATCGAAGTAAACTGAACAATGTGTTGGCATTTTATGCCCTACTCTGACTGGGCAGTCTGTCTTTGTTTGGGCGTCTGTCTCTAACGGGCAGTTTGTCTCTGTCTGGATAGTCTGTCTCTGTTTGGGCAGTCTGTCTCTGATGGGACATGTTTTAATGTCTGATTCCAAGTTATCAAATACATAAACAGTTTTAGTATTGTCACACATTGAGTGAAGTGCTATACAATGCATTTGTTTGTGCGGTACAATGCATTTGTTTTTTCCATAGCTGCAAGAGCTACCTGTACAGAAAGTCATTGTTTATTTTAACTTTTACCGATTTTGTTTTAAATGTCCCACACAATATACAGACATAATTGATTCTCTGCTTGTTTTATTTTAACCAGTGATTTTGAATTGCATTTTTTGCATTCATATTTTAATATTATTTTGTTAGAATGAGTTTTAATTCAATAAAACTTTTTCAAAAAGCATAATCAATTTCTTTGTTAGAGATGATTTGATACTGTGAGTGGCAGGTATGGAAAATATGCGATGGAATTAGAAAAAGAACTGTCTAATACATTTTACATTTTTTCCTGTTTGTGAATAATGTACGGCTATGTGGTCACTGATAGTGATGGTTCATTGGAGCTTATCTCTACTCTAACAACAATCAGTTTTGTATCTCGCTGTGACAATGACATATACAATTCATGTTGTGCAAGGATACAGAAAAATTGAAATTGAGGGTGACAATATGCGATGACATGAAACTTTTGATAGAAAGATGTTTGACATTACTTTCAAAGATGTTCTTGTGAACCAGGTTGTTGTGTTTTGAGTGTTATCAATGTTAGATAAATGATGATAAGGTCCATTATTGCTGAGGAGGTGGTCTGACCAAGTGGTAACGGTGAGGTTATAGATGATGTGGTCTGACCAAGAGGTAATGATGAGATTATTGAATACTTTCAGAATTTCATTTTTTGAAAATTTTAACAAATTGGAGACATTATTATGCATACCATAATTTTAATTTAAGAGAACACTTTTTTTTCCCAAACATCTGTTTGTTTATTTTTTAAAAATGGCATGTAGATGACTACATTATAAAACTTGTAAGAAATGGGCGACAACATGTTCAGAGGGCAGATCCTCGGCTCTGGTCATCATAAACTCTGAGTTGATTGTGAGAGAATAATTTTTTTTTTACTAACAATAAAATATTTACATACACAAAATAGAAACTGAAATAGCTATTTATCTCCCCTTTCATTCTTTATTATTTGCTCAAATTTGCTTGAAATCTCACTTTACAATGGAAACTCCCCATTACAATGAAAAAAAACAGTACAATGGAAACCTTGGATGAGATAGACTTAATACAATGTTCAAATCTGTTGAAAGTCTATCTGATACAAATGAACATAAAAATTGTCCTCCTGTCAGTGTAAAGGAAATGTTTACATTTAGCATTGCTGGGAAAACTGAAATGTGCTACCCTGGAATCAAGAAACAAATATTTTTTAGGAAGTTATCATAGAGAAAAAAAAATCAAGTAAAATGTGAACTATTCAATTTATAAAAGTACATTTTAAATTTCTCAGTGAGTTGTCAAGTCAAGCAAGTCTAATGATAGCTTTCAACTACTAAACAGTGACCCTTGACCCCCTCATTGTCATACTGTGAATACAACTCCTGGATGCAATTTAAATGACTCTAACATTGACAAAGTACGCAGCCATGATCTTAGATCTTAAGAAATTAGTGACATTGGAATTATGGCAAACACAATAAATGAGCTGTCATATTGGAATGTTGTTGCTATTAAATTTAGAAGCTCATTTTTTAAATTTTTATTAAGTTTAATTGTAAGAACAATAATTGCACAATTCTTATATCACATTTTAAGTTAATTTCTTAGAAAAACATTACCACTCATTTTCTTAAGAAAAAACTTAATTATTAAAACTTACAAATTTTAGTTTTATTTTAATTTTAATAAAATAAATATCTTTGCAATTGCGAATCCATGATAATTATGAGTTGAAGATACTTGTTTGGATATGTCTGCTTATTATCAGGGATTCTCAAATGTAAGCATATCAAAAGAGGTATAATAAATAAATAGAGAATTCTCTTGACAGCGTCTAAGGAAGTTACAGCAGGATTAAAAAAAAATTAATATCCCAGACTTTGTCACTTTAAGATTTAATACTGGTCCTTAATATAAAAAAATGTCTTGTTCTTATTAATCTTCAGCAATGATCCCTATACCCTTATTTACATAGAGGGCCACAAGTAGAGTTCTTTTATGAAAAGTGAAGTATAAACAGTAGAAATAGCAAGCTAATCTCCCATGACTTCTACATTTGACACTAAAGTGCTATATACAGTGATGCATAGTTTGCAGTGCAATAGTTCTATAGTAAGAAGACAAGTCTCGTAAGCGAATACAAGAAATCAGGGCGTCTTGAAATCTTAAACCGATTGTATTTTAAAGTTCACCTCCTATGAAACACTAGCTCAGTGTATTCCACATTGTAAACTGAATGATGATTATGTATTCAACTGAACTGATCATTAATAAAAGTTTACAGGGGACAGCAAAGGAGAAATTAAAAGTCACAAGAATGTATGTGGAGACACTGAAAATAGTTTCATAGTTTCAGAACTATTTCTATTCCAGCCCCTTACTATCAATTAAAGAACTGTAACTCTCTACGCATTAAATATTTATTTGCTACCTATCATTTTGGAACAGAAATTTGTTCATCAGCAAGAAAAAGTACTCAGGTGTTAAAGTGAAGAAAAAGTACTTAGGTGTTAAAAAAGGAAGAAAAAGTACTTAGATGTTAAATTGATACTAAAGGTTGTTGAGGCACTTGTTTAATCTTGACCAAAATACAACATGTGTTATCAGAAAATAAAATCATTTAAGACTAAAAGAGAAATTGTTGTCATACTGATACAACTATGCTGATATCCCGTCAGAGTGGGACTCCTTACATTGCTGGAGCAATGAGCAGATACGATGTGTGGTCGGTTGACGAGGGTGAAGATAATTTTGTTGGCATTGGCATTAGTATGAATTATTTCGTAACAATTAACAATTTCTTACGTGCACATATAATAAAAAAAACTAGTTTTAAATAGCATTTTTTAACTCAAAATCTACTGCATTAAACACTGTGATATATGGAAATTAAATACACGTCTATAAAATATGTCAATTCTGTCAGGCACGGAAAGTAAATGAAGGAACATTGGACAGAAATAATGGGGGATGGGGGAGGGGGGGCGGAGAAAGAGAGACAGAGAGAGCGAGGTGACTTGTGAATCTGTTACAGCCTCAATAAGTCATGTGACTTGTGGCACTTTCCGCAAATCTTTTACAGCCTCAATAAGTCATGTGACTTGTGGCACTTTCCCCAAATCTGTTTCAGCCTCAATAAGAGAACAGCTAAGTTGAGCATGCATGATGTTAACATATGCTACAATCACAATAACTTGTCAACTGAATATCAGCCTTCAACATACATACATTTAAGTTACATAAAACAATTATTTTTAATGTATGTCAACATATATAAAATATTAGCAGGCATAAGTTTAAATGCACTTCTGTTAGGACTGAAGAAATAGAATTGCTTGAGGTGATAATCAACAGTTACTGGGTAAGATTTGATTGAACATTGACATAGACTGAACAAACACTCATTGAAAAAGCAAAGAACTGAAGAAGGATGAAAATAACAAAATATTTTGAAGCAAAGTTCTGACATTTTGATTGGTCGACGGAGAGATAAACTACAAAAAATATGTTAAAATCAAGATCAATACTGGTAAAAGATTTCTTTTATCCCAAAAAGTCTCATTTTTATCTCAGAACATGTTAACTAAATAGTATTTTGTAGTGTGACTGGCAAAGATGTAGCAGAAGGTTTTATGATACATGACTGTTGAAATAGTAAAATTGCAGTGCTTTGTAATCTGTTTGTAATGGTACAAATAAAGTCACTGTTTGTAATGGTACAAATAAAGTCACTGTTTGTAATGGTACAAATAAAGCCACTGTATGGCTTAATGTAACCTTTAAGACTATTTTTAATACAGGGCTATTCAAAATAATGTCAACATTTCAATGAATTTTACAATGTACTAGCTTAACAATAACTTGTAGAAGTAGACTGGAGACATAACAACTGATGATAAGATAGGCTTTGCTGATAACTTATTATCTTAATCATTGGTGTGCCTCTCAGTAATGAAGACAAGTTTTATGTTATACAAAAGACAAAATTTTAATCTCTTATACACCAAAGAAATTTCTGACCCTGATCCGCGTGCATATAAAGCCCTCATTGTGGGCCCCTGATAATGGCCTTAAGTTTCTAGCACCAGTCTACAAATATTCAATTTGAGTGAAGATTAAGAGTTTAAAATCTTCACTCCAATGATTAAAATGTTGGTATTTGTTTTCTTTTCCAAATAGCTTGTCACACAGAATGGCAAACGTTTACAAGGTTTGAAAAGCTCTCAACAAAAATGATACAAAAATATAAGTGAATGAAACAAATAAAGAGCTGTTGGAAAAAAAGTATAAATGCCTGCATGAAGTACATTCAGCATAAAATAATCAAAATTATAAATTGTACACACCATTAAAAAAATAAGAATTGATCATAGATTAATTTTTCCCCCCAACATCATAAGTATCACAGTAGAACACTGGAAATAGATAACTTAATAGGTACAGATTTAAACAAGATTAGCAGGTAGGCGCTTTCACAGGCTGCTAGTTATCTGCAGGTTAAAACTTCACAGCAACACACTACAATCGGCAACATACTATTTATTCCACAGAGTGTCTATATAACAAAGCAACCATACAAAAATTGTATAAATAGTCTCATTGGCAAACATTCTCATAGGTGCCTTCCTTTCTATATAATTAGCCAACACTTTGGCAAATGAAAACCAATATTCTCTATCATCAAAGTTTGGAAATGACACTGATTTAACTTCATTTTGGTGCAGAGCGCCTGCTATCAATGTGCATTTAAAAACCACGGTGATTAAACTGACAAAAACAATGATTCAAGATGATTAATTATGACATCAAGATGTTAATATTTAATTATGTGATCAAGTTGTTTAATTATGTTGTCAGTTATGATAAACCGTCATTTCAATAAACCATTTATGGAGACAATAGCTGAAAATGTCATGTAGGCATGTACGTACTCGGATAGGTAACAAATAATAGCTCACAAAACAATTCAAGTATCTCAAGCGTCCTAATGAAATTCAAATCTCCCAATACTAAGTTTTAAATTGCTTTTATAATGACCATCTCTTGCCTGGAGCTGGGATTAAGTTTTATGTGTGGATAATTGTGTTATTGCTCCATGTGATGTGTGGATGAAAAGTGTTGACCTACTTAACTTACCGAGTCATGTGAAATGTTTTGGTAGTTCACTTAAGTTATTCAGTGGCTTCTTTTCCCCATAATGTAATTTTTAAAAAAAAATCTCACAGCAATGCTTGCGGAGCCACACGAGCCACACATCTCACTAAGAAATATCAGGAGCATTCGCTCGGGATTCCAAGAACCAGAATTCTATCCAATTCCTGAAGAAGCCTTTGTTGTTGGGGTTGTTGCGAGCAAAAAGTCCACACAAGGTTGAGCCCTGCTGTTTAGCGTGGACTAGCTCGTGTGATGTCAGGTTCTGACTTATGAGTATAATCTGATATAAGAGGCCAACGCACATCAGTGACGACGCAATCAGGCAGTAGATGGCAGTAACAAAACAGATGGCAGTTCTGTGGAAAAAATAAATAAAATGGTCACCAAACTGTATACCGATTTAAAATTTTTTTGGTTGTACCGATATCAACTTAAAATTAAGAAGACAAGAAATATTAAATATTGTATAGAATTTTAGAGTATAAAAATAACAGCGTAGTAAGTATTCAGTGAAATTACCTTAAATCACACATCAATTCAGATGTCCATACGAAATAAATGGTCAATATAATGTAATCCTGTATTGAATAAGTCTAAAATGTTAAGAAAGCAAAATATAATTTAGTCTGTGTTTTTCTTTTATAATGTTGCAGGCAATTCCAGGAGAGAAAATAACCCAACACAAGACAAACTTGGCACAGCCTAATAAGAGTTGATAGACACTAACTGAACACAAGACAAACTTGGCACAGCCTAATAAGAGTTGATAGACACTAACTGAACACAAGACAAACTTGGCACAGCCTAATAAGAGTTGATAGACACTAACTGAACACAAGACAAACTTGGCACAGCGTAAGAGTTCATAGAAACTTACAAAAAGTCCACATAAAGCCATCTGCAGTCATTGGGCAAAAGGAACCAATCCAAATACATCTTGGGTGTACAGATGGTTGTGAAGGTCAGGTGGGCAGCATAGAGGCCAGTGAACACAAATATGATCATGGCAAGCAGGAACGGCCTGTGGTTAGTGGCACCCACACAGCTGTCAATCCTGAGGTTCAAAGAGCAATCATTAACATTTACTGAGCCGCAGCCCGAGTGAGTGTGGATGACATAAAAGATTCTTTCACTATGGTTCAGAATTAAAGTAACTAACTCCAACTCTAGGATGTAATAAATCTAAAGGCTTTGAGTTGTGTATCAACACTATGTCAAAACTGTACCCACCAAATACAATGATGATCTCTGACAGCAATGTAAGCCTCACAAATCTTGCAGTAACCGGCCCTGGCTGGAAGCTCTTGCTTACCTTTATATTCAAACAGTCGTGTGAACATTAGTTTTACAATATACAATTTTTTTGAAAATGTTATGCAAAATTTTGCACAAGACCTGCCCAACCCATACTGTCTTACCAAACAATGCAAGCCAATAACTGTTGATACTAACTAACTAACTTACTTAAGAAAATCAGCGAACACTGAGCCGGGGCTCATATGGTCCTCCCCAACGCACCACCCCGCCAACCAAATCGGCCGTCAACCGCTCCACCAGTGGTCTTTATTCCGATCGGGCCGCGAAGCGGCACGCCAGGGACGTTCAGCCCCTAAGACCGCCACACCCGACCTCCACTCGATTGGCCGCTGAGTGCGGCAGCCCCAGAGAAGAAACACCTGGCCAGCCGGGTCGCTGCTCACGCAGCAACCGGGCTGGGCTTTCTAGGGGTCTGGGGTGGATATGTTTAACGTCTCTGAAGTCCCCCCTTACCACCCCGGGGGGACCGTGTAGTTGTTTAGACCGACGCCCTCTACTAGGGTTTGTATGGTTATTCTACGGTGCGACTAATTCACACCGTAGATGGGAGAGAGAGGTTGCCTAGGAGCAGTACCCTCAAGACTGCATATATACTAAATTTTTTTAATATCAGTATATATTTATAACTGATCATTTAAAATAATTTTGAAGGTTTAGTTCAAATAAATTCAATTATCTGTCTGTTTAAAAAGTTAGAACCGAAGTTAGCTGAAAGAATCTTTTATTTTCTCTTCTATAAGGAAATATTTTCTCCTCTAAGAGAAATTATATTCTCTTTAAAGAGAAATTATATTCTCCTCTAAGAGCAATTATATTGTCTTCTATGGGCAATGATATTCTCTTCTATGAGAAATTATATTTTCTTCAATGAGAAATTATATTCTCTTAGTTGAGAAATTATATCATCTTAAAATTATGACACAACTTATACAACAAATTAGATCAAACTTTCTTTTATTTTTCTGTTCCTTTTTGCAAGCTTTCATCATAATGTGCTCAAGTATTGTCCATAGTTTCCACTGAGGATAATTTGATAAAAATGTTGTGTCCATAACTTCCACTAGGGATAATTTGATATAAATGTTTGATATGAATGTTGTCCATAGCTTCCACTAGGGATAATTTGATACGAATGTTGTCCATACCTTCCACTAGGGATAATTTGATACGAATGTTGTCCATAGCTTCCACTAGGGATAATTTGATATGAATGTAGTCCATAGCTTCCACTAGGGATAATTTGATATGAATGTTGTCCATGGCTTCCACTAGGGATAATTTGATATGAATGTTGTCCATAACTTCCACTAGGGATAATTTGATATAAATGTTTGATATAAATGTTGTCCATAGCTTCCACTAGGGATAATTTGATATGAATGTAGTCCATAGCTTCCACTAGGGATAATTTGATATGAATGTTGTCCATGGCTTCCACTAGGGATAATTTGATATGAATGTTATCCATAACTTCCACTAGGGATAATTTGATATAAATGTTGTCCATAGCTTCCACTAGGGATAATTTGATATGAATGTTGTCCATAGCTTCCACTAGGGATAATTTGATATGAATTTAGTCCATAGCTTCCACTAGGGATAATTTGATATGAATGTTGTCCATGGCTTCCACTAGGGATAATTTGATATGAATGTTGTCCATAGATTCCACTAGGGATAATTTGATATGAATGTTGTCCATAGCTTCCACTAGGGATAATTTGATATAAAGTATGTGTCCATAGCTTCCACTAGGGATAATTTGATATAAATGTTGTCCATAGCTTCCACTAGGGATAATTTGATATGAATGTTGTCCATAGCTTCCACTAGGGATAATTTGATATGAATGTTGTCCATAGCTTCCACTAGGGATAATTTGATATGAATGTTGTCCATGGCTTCCACTAGGGATAATTTGATATGAATGTTGTCCATAGCTTCCACTAGGGATAATTTGATATGAATGTTGTCCATAGCTTCCACTAGGGATAATTTGATATGAATGTTGTCCATGGCTTCCACTAGGGATAATTTGATATGAATGTTGTCCATAGCTTCCACTAGGGATAATTTGATATGAATGTTGTCCATAGCTTCCACTAGGGATAATTTGATATGAATGTTGTCCATGGCTTCCACTAGGGATAATTTGATATGAATGTTGTCCATAGCTTCCACTAGGGATAATTTGATATGAATGTTGTCCATAGCTTCCACTAGGGATAATTTGATATGAATGTTGTCCATGGCTTCCACTAGGGATAATTTGATATGAATGTTGTCCATAGCTTCCACTAGGGATAATTTGATATGAATGTGGTCCATAGCTTCCACTAGGGATAATTTGATATGAATGTTGTCCATAGCTTCCACTAGGGATAATTTGATATAAAGTATGTGTCCATAGCTTCCACTAGGGATAATTTGATATAAAATCTTGCTTCCCATGTCTCAATATTTAAAAAAATCAAATTGTTAACCTAAAAACCCAACACTGTTATCCTCCTTTGTTCTTATGAATAAGATAAGATAAGATATTTTTATTAATCCAAATAAATGGAAATTTGTTTTTTACATTCATCGCAAATATTTCCTTCAGCCCTTGAAATGTTTGTTTGTGTTTTTCGTTGTTGCTATAGCAGACATTCCCCGTCTATGTGTGCAATAAAAGTAACTCTTGAGTTCTTGAGTGAGATCAGTCTTGGATTTTTGTTTGAACGGAGGTTTTCTTCTCCAAGATTAGGGGAACGCCTTTTGTCTGTAGTCGATTGTCTTTAAATAGTTGTTTTGATCTTGCCATTTGTTTACAAGATGGCGTCCCAATTTTTTCCAATATGGCGGCTATGGATGGGTCTTGGTGTATGGCAACGACGTCCACAAAATCCATGTAATCACTGTTCATTGCGGTAAAAAACACAAGATTATCAGTCAAAGGAGATAAAACACATTCAACACACCTTGACTCCATCAGTCAAAGGAGATAAAACACATTCAACACACCTTGACTCCATCAGTCAAAGGAGATAAAACACATTCAACACACCTTGACTCCATCAGTCAAAGGAGATAAAACACATTCAACACACCTTGACTCCATCAGTCAAAGGAGATAAAACACATTCAGCACACCTTGACTCCATCAGTCAAAGGAGATAAAACACATTCAACACACCTTGACTCCATCAGTCAAAGGAGATAAAACACTCGCGTGAGTTTTTTGTGTCAACTTCTATAATGTTAATTTATATGTTTACACAAAATTTACAAATAGGAAATGGATCAAATGAAATGAGTAATAAAACAATAGAAATTGCAAATCTAATAACTAAATAATGTACTTAAAATAATTACTTGTGATGGTTCTCTTGATGGGTGGCACTGGGATTTCGTACGTATTGAGAAGTATAATCCATGTGTTCATTTGTATTCTTGTAGGTAGATAGGGTTGGAATGTCTGGTGTCTCCAATAATCCAATGTCACTAAAAGTTAAGGTTGGTATAGCTGTATGGTTGGTTTGCACGGCTTTCCTCTGGACTGGTATGGCCGTGATGATTGTTTCGAAGAGCTGGTGTGTCTGGTTGGTCAGGCCCTCTCTGTGATGAATGGTAGGCTGGTAGGGTTCTTTGGACGATATGATTTTGCTTTAACGGCCTCCACTGTGCAGTATGGTCTGGTATGGTTTGTTTGGACTTAGATGAACCTTTGAACCACGTACCGAATGATGAGCTGGTATGGTTGGATCGTGCTCCCACGGTGGCTAATTGCGCGCTTAGATGGCTGCTCCACTGTGGTGGATGGTTAGGGTTGATATGGCTGCATCGAACGGCCTCCCCTTTGGCTGCTGGTAGGCTTGGATGGTTTCTTTGATGAGCCGCGACGATGGCGAATGATAGATTTGTATGGTTAATCCCCTGTGGATGGTTGGTGGACTTGGATGGTTGCCTTGATATCCCGGACGGGCCCCCACTGTGACGTGATGTACGTTGTCTAGGGGTCGGTCCCCTCTGTACTAGCCACAGAACAATTTTTCAAGGGTCTAGAACCCCTTTATTTCCAGCTCCTACAGAGCTGACTCTTGCTCCAAGTATCAACAAACAATTCAGGGTTTCAGGTTTTCTTATTTATTGGCTATGTGTGCCTATATGCCACTACACAAAACAGTTAAAGTTACACAAGTCCTCTTCCATCCGTAGAAAAACTCACTTACTCACACACGTGGTTTTTTCAGACACAGCACACCGGTCATACCTTGACCGAGAAAAATCAAAACTCGTGGGGCACACGGGGAAAATAAACTCACCCACGATTGGTCAAATTAACATTATAGAAGTTGACACAAAAAACTCACGCGATCTGACCGTGACATTCAACACACCTTGACTCCAAAGAAAATGTTATAAAAACCTTTAAACTATTACGAAAGCTGAAAAAACATGCACAGATGAAATCGAGTCGCCTGCAGAGCAGCGCCCCGGAAGTATATGTTAACATATATAAATATATAAATATGTGAACATTTAAGGCATCAACTCACCCCCGGGAACAGCTCTTATGTATTTTAAAATAGGATCACTCTTTCGATGCGGAACAACTTACACTACATTCTTCCAACATTCTCAAAAGCACAGACCAACGCGCTGTGCATTGTTTCAATATCATGTTTGTTTCTTTGCTATTTATCGGTTAAACTTTTTAAGAGCTATTGTTAAATAAGACTTTTACAAAGAAGATTGGTGCTTCATTGTTTATAAGCGAAACCAAGGTTTATTTGTTGTCATTTAAAGCATTAGTTTGACGATTTTCTTCACATTTTTCTTCTCTGTAGCTATGGCTAGTAGGTAAGTTTCCTAGATGATTAACAGTTAAAAATGCTTTGGAATTGTTTTATACTAATTCTTTTGATAGTGACGATGATTTATATTTAGATGCATCGCACAATTCCGATAGAAGTAGTTTTAGAGGAATTGAGCTATAGAAGGGAAGATGAGGTATGTGTACATCTTAGGGTTTGGGGAAAAATTATTCAGCATAAAATATTTTCAAATTTTATGTTTCTTTTCTGTAACTTATTTTATTTAAAGTGAAGAAATAAGTGTACAAAACATATAGTCCTTTCAATTACCTTTCATTTGATACCAAGCTTAGTCTTAAAAAACAAAAGAATAATATTTTAAATATTTTTTAATAAACCCAACCCCTCCCCCTTTTTCCGCTCTTCGAAAAAAATGTAAAGTTTTTCGATAAAAAAATTCTGCAGCGAAAGAGTTAAGATCTAAGGCATCTACTCACTCCCAAGGAAAGCTCAAGGTCTTATGTATATTCAAAAATGTTAATATCTAAGGCATCAACTCACCCCCAGGGACAGTTCCAGCTCTGGTCTCCACCCATTGGACTGAAGCATCTTTTGAATTATCAGCACCAAGAGTAACAGTTACCATGTCCCCATTATAAATATTTTGTGCAGCATCTTGACTAGTCACCTGGTTGCAGGTAATAGAGATAGATAGTAAAACATGCTTCATTAAACCAATGGCTTTAATATGTTTCAAATAGAATCACAGAACAAGCAAAACAAATCAGGCTCCATTTCAAATCAAACGGTTCAAACATTTTTAATCAGCCAGGTAGGGATTAACAAAAAATGTATTTCATGCAAACATAATTTGTAAAATAGCAATCAACTTTCTGGTAAAAATTAGAAACCACTATAAATGTAAATAATTCAAACAGCTACGAAAGTAATTAAGATTATTATTAGGCTACCTCAAAATTATTGTTCTTGTTGTACTGTAAATAAAAGCTGATTCTTTCTGCTTGATCTTTTTTTCTAGAATATTAGTTTGTTACGGTTCTATACTGCAATCAACAATTTACAAAATAAAATATAGTAGTGGCCAGATTTTTCTTATTGTTATTTGTAAAAAAAATGAAAGACTCTACCTGATCATACAAAGGTAAGGAAGAACTCAAATTAGTATTAGAGGGTGTGCGTTTATGAATGGCGCGTGGCCTGTGAGCCACTTGCAGGGCGTCTTGATCTTGTTTTGTTAAATGAAGGCAGTAAAACATGATCATCATGGATGTAAACACTGTCAAAATCTCCCACAGTAAAACCTCTCTGAATGCAACAACAAAAAACTGAAAATAAAATTAATCAAGAATACTCTCTGAAATAACAAGACACTGATGTCTTAATATTATTTGTAAAGCCAGAACGAGACCTAATCAAATGCATTTATTGCAAGATTTAAATCACGAATATGCACTATTAAACCAAATTGCTTATTATGAATTCATATTATTATATCCTCATCATTCAAACTTCATACAATTAATACTTTATTTTTTAAAATAATTTTATTTCTCTGACTACTTTAAATACTAAATTCATTTCTAAATGTCCTTGATATTACATTTTTGCACATATCTGTTTTTAGTGGATAATCTTTTCAATATTACAAATAAATCTCCAACCCAGGCGCACAATATTATTCAGGAACTATGATCCCATACCATGCACCAAGTGCCATCACACTATTTGTGAACCATGATACAAAACCATCCACCCTGTGCCATCATAATATTTGGGAACCATGATACCATACCATCCACCTAGTGAAGGGGTCGGCAACCATTTGAGACGGAAGAGCAAAAAGTTACAATTTACAAGATTTCCCAGTTTTTAAAGAGCCACTAACATTTTTATTTCAATATAATTATTAATATTTGTGCATGGAACTGGAGAGCCGCATCTTGACATCAAAAGAGCCGCATAGGGCTCACGAGCCGAAGGTTGCTGACCCCTGACCTAGTGCCATCATACTATTTGGTAACCATGATACCATACCATCCCCCAGTGCCATCATACTAGTTGGGAACCATGATAACATACCATCCACCTAGTGCCATCACACTATTTGGGAACCATGATATACCAATCACAGTCTGACAAAGCAAAGCATATGAAATAAGCTGTGTCTGTGACTCAAAGGTTGTGCATATTATTATTGAACATAATATTTTATAACTGAATTTAGATCTAATACTGTACCTGAAACACCAAGTAAGAGCTAATCACTGAAGTGAGTCCCCATGAGTAAAAGAAAAGAGTCCTGCTGTTTCTCTGCCTGTGCCGCCATAACGCATGAAAAGTTAACACAAAGGCAGGCATAAAGAGAAAGCTAAAAACAGTCATGACAGGATGGAGGGTTGCCAGACAAAGGCATGTCGGGACAACAATGATTGGTGTGACAACATCAGGCCTCAATTTAACAGCACCACCACCGAAACAAGACGGTAATCGGCATCTGTCAGAGATAGTGTTCATAAGTCGATCCAGGGTAGACTCTGGAACTCTTTCACATTTAAAGATCCTAAAAAAAATGTTTGAGAAAATGAATGCCAACATGTAAAAAAATAAAAAATAACTTGCCAATGAATTTCTTGATTAAGAATTTTAATAACAAGTGTATTTATGTAGATATATTGCTTAAAAAAAAATTATTATACATGTTTATATTATAGTAACATCTTGTACCAGTGCATAAGTGACAATTGAAACGCTTCATCATCATATTTTCTACTGATCAATACTTAATAATACAGATCAGTACATTAAAAGCTAAATAAGATCAAAATATCTTACTTATCAAACATGTCGTCCAAAGCTTCACAGTCACAGCAAGATGACAGGACGTGGCTTCTTTCTCCATGCATATTTTGATATTCGCAACAGCACAAAGTCTCACTACTGCTTGATGAAAACTTCCTTAGAGAGCCAGTACTCATGGCAATTATAATCTCTGGTTTAAAATTAAAAATTTAGATAATAACTGATCCATCATACTAAAAACAAAGTAAGTTTTTGTATGTTTATAGTTATAGCCAAGTCCTAATGAATCCTATGAAATGTAGAATAGTGTCATGTTACTTTTAAATGTACAACAGTCTTGAAAAAAATTCAAGCATGGGTAGAAAAATTTCTAATGAGCATTCTTCATGGATAATTAACATTGGTAATCTTGCAGTTGAGGTGCATATATTATTTCTGATCAAATTTCCTATTATCGCGTGTAAACTTAACGTGCATTCTTTATCAAATTTAGTCCAGATAGTGTTAGTTAACATTAACACTCAATTGTACAGCACTAACTTTTCTTTTTATGGATTTTTGCAGACCCCATTGCGAATAGCCGATAGCGTAATCGATCTCTCCATTTTCTTGTTTATTTTAAATTTACCCTACATGCCAGATGCAATTTTGCAACTGAAAGCATATTCACAAAAAACGAAACAAGAAATTAGATTTATCATAAATTATACCAAAATTATTTATTGATGCTTAACTTTTCAAACTAAAAGCATGTTCATAAAATAAATTTATATAAAATTGGCGTGTTTTGGCGTGTTTATTAGCTAGTTTTAGGAAAAATTAAAATTATGAGTTCGTTACCCTTCAGTACCGGTTTTTGAATATGGATATTCAAGTGTGTGTAATAAGTTTGAACTCGTTCCATTCACCCATGCAGGAGCCTTTGTTTGGAATTATATTTATACACCCCATATAAGAAAAAAAACGAATTTTGGGCCCTATTAAATAACAGAAAATCTAATTAAGTTACCCCCCCCCCCCCAAAGTTTCATTCTTTTTGTAAACATGCCAACAATTTGAAAATTTCGTTTAGCATACCAACTGGTAGGTGATCAAAAATTCTGGCAACAGGGTTAGGAGCCTTTGTTTGGAATTATATTTATACACCCCATAAAAGAAAAAAAACGAATTTTGGGCCCTATTAAATAACAGAAAATCTAATTAAGTTACCCCCCCCCCCCAAAGTTTCATTCTTTTTGTAAACATGCCAACAATTTGAAAATTTCGTTTAGCATACCAACTGGTAGGTGATCAAAAATTCTGGCAACAGGGTGAAAAAGAATACATGATAAATGGAGCTTTGGAAGATGGGTGGGGGAGGTGTTGAAAGACGCTTTAGAGATAAAATAAAATGCAAATAAGCGCTATATATTTCAGTATTAGTTAACTATCACTGCCTGGATTTAATTTAATGAGGAATACATGAAAGTTTACATGCGATAATACGAATTTCGATCAGAAATAATATACGCACCTGAACAAAAAGATTAACTTAATATTTATATGCCTATATTTTACCTAGCTGTTTGAAATAAATAAAAATGACAGTATAAGACTTTTATTTAATGCTGAATAATAATTATTAAGAAAAAGACCTGGAAATAAAGATGACCCAAAATAAAAAATTTTAAAAAGTTTTTAGAAATCTGCTGGACTTGACCAAATAACTTGTAGTGTAATGTTCAATTTCCTATACTTTTTATTAGGGGTGTGCCGGAATCCGGTTCCACCGGATTTTGCACTATCCGGTGAAATCCGGTTCCGCCGGATTTACATGTATCCGGAACAACCGGAATCCGGAATATACCGGATTTCGGAATTTGCCAGATTTTGTGACTCACCGGATCATAATCTGAAATTAAAGTAATTCTCTTTCCCGAATTCCACACGATCACGATACATTAATCGATTGTTTCGAGCGTTGAGCTTGTTTAATATTCCGAACATACCAGAGGCTAGAGTCAGCACCGCTAATAGTGGCCAATAGTAGGGACTTTGATAAGAAAATTTAAACTTTTTGTAAAAATAAACCAATGGCATAGTTGAAAAGAGGTAATTTTTTAAAGAATTATAACACCAAAATCATATTTTTAGCTGTTGTAGTTTTAAAGTTATGAATTTTTAAAGTACGACTTGGTTTGTCATTTTTTAACATGGACTGCATCTCCACATTCTGTGATCTCATTCCACCAATCCCGTCATGCGCAATGACTATATAGTTTATATAAGGCAACGCATTCCCTGCCTTATCACTAAAATACTGTTTAGACTTAGTTTAAACTTTCAACTTTGGCACATGAATAATTAATTAAAGCTTTCCCTGACCAATGGTTTAATAGTTTTTGCACACGGCAAACTCTTATGAATGAAACTCTGAGGTAGTACTACGATACAGTTATGCAAGTGGCTGTGAATGGTTGCCAATGACAACGTGTTGCACACGGTAAATTCTGATCATTTATAATATGGATTCTACCGGGTTGTTAAAGCTCAAATTAAAACATTCCAGTTTAAATGTCTTTAAATGCATTCTGAAACACAAGTTATCAATTATTTTGATGTAAATAGTGATAATAAATTAATATTTCCTAAGTATCGTCAACTTCCGCCATTAAAAAGGGGGGCGTGGCCAACCCCATGGCGAAATTAGGTTGAGCGAGCTGCATGACCTGCTGCGAACGCGTAGAAACATGGCGTCTCTCGTAAGACACTTATCCAAATGGAACGGAACTCAAATATATATCGAAAGTACTAATTTAATAATAAATAGACACACACATCGGAAAATTAAAAACTCGGATTTTTTGGCGCCGATTGCGAATTCCCATACACAATAAGTAGTAGTCTACCTTGACTTACCGAAGTATCTACCAATAGTACCAAAATTCGGAATCCGGGAGAAACCGGAATCCGGATTATTCCGGAATCCGGATCCGAAGGATTTCGCATAAGAAAATCGGGATCCGGTTGGAAAAAACGGATCCGGCACACCCCTACTATTTATTTATTATTGAAGCTACATTTTTCACTATTAGTTAGTAGTGAGTATTATTGACTGATTAATTTTAAAATTAATTTTCGGTAAATTTGGATAGATAGCACCGGGGCGCGCCATCTTGGTTGCCACAACCCACAAACGTATGTCCTAAATGTATCCCTAACCTGAACCCTAAATCTATCCTAAAACTAACCTGAACCCTAAACTTATCCCTCACCTGGGTTTTGACCCTATTGGCCTAATTTCGGAACCAGGGTTTTAACCCTATCACTATCAGTGATTGGAACCAGGGACAAAACACGCAAATGACTTCAGGGTGCTATCTCTCCAAATTTACCTAAATTTCTTCTGAAATAACTTTCTAATTCAAATCAAAGTTACGTGAAATTTAAACAAAGAGGTATTGCTATCCCGACCCAGGAGTGAAAAAATTAAGGATCACCTCTTCTGGTCATTATCAATAATCATTTCAATGCTTTATCCAAAAAAGAAAATTTGGTAAGTAAGGCTTTTCATGATTTCAAACATGTGTATTATTTTCAACTCTTTTATGTAGTTATGGGTATACCGTAGTTATGTCTGTAATATATACTTCATGTCATTAGCAGGCAGTGACAGCTCAGTGTCTCTAAAAAATGTCGTAAATTGTAATTATAAGTATAATTAAGTGAATTAAGTGTCTTGAGTGTTAACAGGGGCCTACTCCGTAAATCTGTTCACCTGCTTCGTTTCACCTCTAATATTTAATTTTTTCTTTTAAACTTACCTGAGTAAAGCGATTTTGAAACAGATGAAGACTATGATGATTTAAATGGGTATATAACAATAATAATTTTTTTTAATTCTTTCATTTCATTTAGACATTATCGCATCCGGTTTAGTACTTATACTTCCGTTTGAATACCTCTGAAAATATTTCGGAATAAAATAAGTATTTACAATTTTATTTTCAATTAATTATAATGTAATTAATATTGAATTGAATCCGAATACACAGAACTAGATTTTTAAACATAAATAATTTAAATAGAAAAATTATAAATTTTATATGTCCTTTTATGTGGAAAGAGAAGAAAAATTGTATATGTTCTTTTCTGTGGAAAGAGGAGGAAAATCATTAATAACGAGTGGTAAGTCAAATACCCTTAAACTTTTTTCTCCCCGCCCCCCCACCCCCTCTTGCTCCCTCCCCTGTGTTACCCAAAAATATATTATTTAGAACAATCTTTTCACAACTCTGTAATCACAAACATCAGTAGCTCTACAGGCCATCTTAAGCATTGACCTGCTCCAGCATAGCTCTTCGTCTCGTCACGTGGGTATTTACCTCGGATATTTAAGAGACTCAAGTTGTGATGTGGGCAATGGAAAGAATTATTATATAGCATTGAATAGCAGTGGGCCTTCAAAAGTCACACAACCGCTTTGGCGCGGACCCCCGAAGGCTTTCCTCGGTTACCTCGAGGTGTCCTGGCCATTTTTAGTTGAATTGAATTGAATATTTATAGAGCGCTTGTATCCATGCTACTTTAGCATGCTCACAGCGCTCGTATGTTCTTAAATCTATTGAATTTTTTTAAAAAAAGTCTTTAAACGTTTCTTAAAGGAGTTTTTATCATAATTTTTAATTTCCCTCAAAGATTGGGACAAGCTGTTCCACAATTTTGGGGCTATCGCTTTAAAAGAGTGCACTCTCTATGACTTGCTCCATATAGTTGCTGCGACTATGGATGGGTCTTCGAACAATTTGTATACCTCTTTGTCTTTACAAATTCTTTATCCATCATTTTTCAGTGCAGGACAGTATATTTTTGGAATTTTCTCTCTCAAGTACTGAGCAGGTGTTAGGCTTTCTTGGTGTGTACTGAGCAGGTGTTAGGCTTTCTTGGTGTGTACTGAGCAGGTGTTAGGATCTTGGTGTGTACTGGGGTGTTAGGCTTTCTTGGTGTGTACTGAGCAGGTGTTAGGATCTTGGTATATACTGAGCAGGTGTTAGGATCTTGGTGTGGGATCATGCACCTGCATACATGCATCACTATCAAGAGATCATGTCTCACCTGCATACATCACTATCAGAGATCATGTCTCACCTGCATACATTACTATCGGTAGCATAATAATGACGTGTGTGCATTTTTTTTCCCTGTAAGGTTTCTGCATCCTACCAGCTTTTGCAGACTGAAATATGAATGGTTGCCTGCTGATATCCTGAATGCTTGCCTGCTGATATCCTGAACGGTTGCCTGCTATCCTGTACTTCTCGCCCATCTCTATCCCACATATCCCATTTATGGTAGCTCCTATCCATTTGAAATGATATAAACTCTCAGAGGGTGAGTTGCTTTTTAATTATTTTAATGTTGTCATTTGTTTGCCTTATCTGTGGCATTACCATAGACTTTGTCTTTGCTCCATTAATCTCTAAACCAGCATGACATTACCATAGACTTGGTCTTTGCTTCATTAATCTCTAAACCAGCATGACATTACCATAGACTTGGTCTTTGCTCCATTAATCTCTAAACCATAATGACATTACCATAGACTTGGTCTTTGCTTCATTAATCTCTAAACCAGCATGCCATTACCATAGACTTTGTCTTTGCCTCATTAATCTATAAACCAGCATGACATTACCATAGACTTTGTCTTTGCCTCATTAATCTCTAAACCAGCATGACATTACCATAGACTTGGTCTTTGCCCCATTAATCTATAAACCAGCATGACATTACCATAGACTTTGTCTTTGCCTCATTAATCTATAAACCAGCATGACATTACCATAGACTTTGTCTTTGCCTCATTAATCTCTAAACCAGCATGACATTACCATATAGGCCTACTTTGTCTTTGCCTCATTAATCTCTAAACCAGCATGACATTACCATAGACTTTGTCTTTGCCTCATTAATCTTTAAAGCAGCATGACATTACCATAGACTTGGTCTTTGTTCCATTAATCTCTAAACCAGCATGACATTACCATAGACTTGGTCTTTGCTCCATTAATCTCTAAACCAGCATGACATTACCATAGACTTTGTCTTTGCCTCATTAATCTATAAACCAGCCTGACATTACCATAGACTTTGTCTTTGCCTCATTAATCTATAAACCAGCCTGACATTACCATAGACTTTGTCTTTGCCTCATTAATCTTTAAAGCAGCATGACATTACCGTAGACTTGGTCTTTGCTTCATTAATCTCTAAACCAGCATGACATTACCATATAGGCCTACTTTGTCTTTGCTTCATTAATCTCTAAACCAGCATGACATTACCATAGACTTGGTCTTTGCTTCATTAATCTATAAACAGCATGATATGACAATATACTTTTGTCTTTAATTAATTAATCTCAAACAAGCATTATCAGAAGAATCTTCAAGTTCATTGAATGTTTTTTTTTATTATGGAAGTTATTTTCTTTTCAATTAAGATATTTTTGTCGTCCAGGTACTGCAACTGTTGGCTAAATATTGTTCTTGATTGGCTGAAGTTCTGTAATGTTTCTCTGGAAGTGCTCTGTGATCGCTCCACTGGTGCTCACATGTAATGGCGTAGCCAGGGTTGGTGTGGTAAACTCATTCTGTCCCCGCCACCCGCGACTTCTTGTTAAAATTACGTTCTTAATATAACAATGCAATGAAGAAAATCAAAATAAATAAAGGTCAGGAGGTGAATGTATTTAAGAATTGTAACAATGCTAAGTTATAGTTATTTTTACATTAAATGTACTTATTTTTTTTTTTTTAAATCCAGGTCTTCACAGCTGCAACCCTGTAAAACACTTGACCGAAATCAATATCCGGCACCGTATCACTTCAACTGATGGTACAGCCAGATCAGAAAGCCTTGACTGTCTCATGGTGGATCGTAAATAGTTCTTGATAAGCCTTAGTTTTGGAAGCCACAGACACACAGATCGTAAGAAACAATTGAAGGCTTTGCCAGAGTAGTGGAAGAGATTCTAGGACGTCCCATTCAGCTATGCATTTCAAAACCTCAAATACTGACCAGTCTATGACTTTGTGAAATTCAATATCAGATGCATTTAGGTGTCTTCTAAGCCTTGGTATTTCTTTTAAAAGTTCATCTTCTGATAACTAATCATAGAAATAGCTTAATTTTGGAATGGACACCAATAAGTCTAATTCATTTGCTGATAGTAAACTATTGGGTTGAATAGCCCCAAACATATCTGCTACTTCCTTAATCGTAGATGATTTGATCTGGAGTTCAATACACTTCAGCTTCTCCCTACTGTTTCTTCTCGCAGACAGAGCCCAGCTTCTATTATTTGTTCTCCTGCCATTCTCTTCTTAACCTTAATCTACCGAAATTCCCAATTGGTCTAATTTTAAAAGCTCATTTTCAGTAGCATGTTCCACCAAGTGACAGCGCTTCTCGGGCAGTTACAATGTTCAGACCTCTAGATTGGTCACCACATAATCAAGAGTAAATTCTTTAGTCTGCAGACATTGCTGTGTAAGATTAAATTCCTCAAGCAGATCATTCCAACGGTAAAGGTTATCAGATAAAAGTGAATTTACAGACAGCATGAAAGAAGACCTTGTGCTGTATGACAATCGTGCTCAAATGTTGAGGGGCGGTACGAGTGACGGATCGGTGAAAATATTTTTTTTTTTTTAGAATTTCTGGGTTTCGATATATTTGGTTTAAAACATTTTTCTGTTTAAAAAAAATAAGAAGAAATTAATTATTTATTAAAAGATATTGTAATAGAGCATTAAAAATATATTATTTTGTTGACCATGTAAATGGTTAAAAGACATTTTTAAAATCTTTTTTTTTTTTAACCGATTCGATTCATGTACTTTGAATCACCCGACCACATCGTATTTGGTTTCAACGGAAAGCTTTATTTCTCAGAATTGAGATAACTATAGCTTCCTGTCACGAAAGTTACCGAACACTTCAATCGGCGTTGAATCATGTTCCAAAATGGTGTTTTTCTAACCTAATTATAGATTCACTACATTTCTGACGCATCAACGATGAACTTTTATTAAAGCAAGCATTTGCATTGGTTACATGTGTGGAAAATTTACATGTGATCGGTTATCCTTTTATGAAATTCGGTTTGACCGAGCAGTTTGCGCTCTGTAAATATCATATTTTTCAATTTGGTGTCCCCCCCCCCCCCCGCACCAACTAGCTACGCCCCTGCTCCCATAAATGTTGCAAGTACTGCAATAGTTGGCTAATGTTCCTGATTGGCTGTGGTTCTGTAATGTTTCTCTGAAAGTACTCTGCGATACTTCCACTGGTGCTCACATGTCTGTTCCACTGGTGCTCACATGTCTGTTCCACTGGTGCTCACATGTCTGTTCCACTGGTGCTCACATGTCTGTTCCACTGGTGCTCACATGTCTGTTCCACTGGTGCTCACATGTCTGTTCCACTGGTGCTCACATGTCTGTTCCACTGGTGCTCACATGTCTGTTCCACTGGTGCTCACATGTCTGTTCCACTGGTGCTCACATGTCTGTTCCACTGGTGCTCACATGTCTGTTCCACTGGTGCTCACATGTCTGTTCCACTGGTGCTCACATGTCTGTTCCACTGGTGCTCACATGTCTGTTCCACTGGTGCTCACATGTCTGTTCCACTGGTGCTCACATGTCTGTTCCACTGGTGCTCACATGTCTGTTCCACTGGTGCTCACATGTCTGTTCCACTGGTGCTCACATGTCTGTTCCACTGGTGCTCACATGTCTGTTCCACTGGTGCTCACATGTCTGTTCCACTGGTGCTCACATGTCTGTTCCACTGGTGCTCACATGTCTGTTCCACTGGTGCTCACATGTCTGTTCCACTGGTGCTCACATGTCTGTTCCAC